TACAGCATTGCCTTCTCTGACATTTTTTGAAGTTTACATGCTAAATTTTTAACTCCATATTATATTCTACGTGTAGATAAAAGAGTGCACTTTAATTTAATATAAAAATCATTAAAATCTATTTGCTAAAAGTATAAAAAATATTTACCAAAACTTTTCCAAAAAATTGCTAAGATGCACAATTTACAGCATTGCATTCTCTGACATTTCCTGAACTTCACATGCTAAATTAAATTAAACTTATGACTGTAATAAAAATGATGTTATATTGACTTATGAACATAACTATCAAGTTGCTGAGGAAGTCTCAAATAGAGACGAAACGTTCAACGGATAAATATTGTGTTCATCTTAATTAAACCCGTCCAAAAAACAACTTCCCTAAGAGTAAACTTAGTAATATTTATTAACATTGGATGTGGTGATATGATTCACTAAATTATATCTAAGTAAAATTTCAAGCAATATGAAATATATTTATACGATAGTTATGATTAAATGATGATAGTTATGATAATGTATTCAAGTGTTACAGAAAAATTAGTAAAGAGTATGTATAATCATTTATAAGATGTTATTATTCGTGAATAAAAAGAAGGTGGTCCTATTTAATATTAAAGGCTTCAAAGTTTTATTTTCAAATATTTTTGTGGCTTCTCAATAATAATTTTATAAGAAATAAATTATAAATATTGTATATATATTTCTTGATTTGCTTGAAAATTTTTACATATATATCTAGAGTATCATACCTCCACCCAATGTTAATAATATGTCGGTAGATGTTGTATAATATACTTATTATAATTAATTAATTATTTCATGGCAAATGTATTCAAATACTACAAGTGATACATACATATATACATATATATATACGTTTTGTCGTATCAAATAATTGTGTGTGTCCAACGACAAATTGATTTCTCTAATTTCGGATTCATCAAAGTCACATTTTTCTATTCTTTTCACGTTAATGTGCTTATGAATATGATTCACGCTTACACAACGATCATTCGAATCATTGGCACGCTATAACAGATCACCAACGGTAATAGGTATCGATTAACGATCATTTTCGATCGCTTATCTCAATCATTTAATAACAAATTGAATTAACACAAATGATGTTAAGAAAATGTAGAAAAATATTTAATATCTATTATCTCTATCTCTCTATCTCTTTCTATTCGGCTTTAATTAATAAAATTCTAAATGATTCGAGATGAAGGTAATAAACGTTAATCATAGGCACAGTTTCGGTGAACAATTTTCACAAAGAAAGTGGGCACGAGAGGTGGCTGGACAACGTGAAATTCTATCGGCTTATGGTGGTGTCAAATTGGAAGATGTCAGAGGAATGAGAGCACCATTTTTGTCGGTAAGATTGACAATGAAACATTTCTAATAATACTTTCTTCCTATTATTTCAACCTAAATTACACGTTAATCTTCGATCTTTGTCCGACATTTTTATTTCGATAGGTCGGTGGAAACAATATGTTCAAGATGTTGTGGGATACAAATTTCACTTACGATTCTTCGATGCCAATTTATGAGAACAGACCACCTAGTTGGCCTTACACGTTAGATTATAAACTATTCCACGATTGTATGATACCACCTTGTCCTACCAGATCTTATCCTGGATTATGGGAAGTGCCTATGGTAATGTGGCAAGATCTGAACGGTGGTAGGTGTTCTATGGGAGACGCTTGCAGTAACCCACCAACTGCCGATGGAGTTTACAAGATGCTTATCAAAAACTTCGAAAGACATTACACGACTAACAGGTATGCGAATATATCACGTTTTCAACTTTCAATTATAGTGATCGATATTTCCTATTTATATGTATTCATTCATGTGAAAATAATTATAACACTGGGCTAACATAAGTAACAAAATTAAAACAAATCCAATATTTATAATATATAATAAATAATTGTGTAATAACTGACTTATTATGTTAATCCAATATCATAATTATGCAGCATGTTTAATATAATCTAATTTCTCATGTATTCCCATATCATAGAGCACCATTCGGACTCTTCTATCATGCGGCATGGTTTACTCAACCCCATCATAAAGAAGGTTTCATCTCTTTCCTTGACACAATAGTTGCCATGGATGATGTTTGGGTTGTAACGAATTGGCAAGCTATCCAATGGATTAGAAATCCGACGCCTCTTGCACTTCTGCATAATTTTGAGCCTTTCAGCTGCAATTTTGCAGTAAGTCATATATACGTTTTTATATTTTTTATTTACAATTTAATAATAAACAATAATCTCTATTTTTCTTTTTCTTTCTTTCTTTTTAGGATCGACCGAAGAAATGTAACAATCCGAAGGTTTGCAATCTTTGGCACAAAAGTGGTGTTAGGTACATGAAAACTTGTCAAGCTTGTCCAGATATTTATCCATGGACGGGAAAAACTGGTATTAGGAGCAGTCGCATTGATAACGAAATAGATACACACGAATGAAACGGCAAACCAATCAACGTGACAATCGAGACCCACCAATGAGGATGAAAGAACCAAAACGAGAAAAATGATATACACAAAAACGAACATACATGCAACCATACACTCACACACATATATATACATAAAGCATCTCAGTGTTCTTTTATTTCTTGTTCCTCTGAACAAATAGTTCGAGTACGCCAAGTTTCATCTATTTTCCTATTTTTTTTTTTCCACCCCTTTTTTTAATTCTTTTTTCTTAATTTTGTTTTCGACCGAAGAAGAGAGAACAAATTTAACATCGCGGTTAAAATTTTAAACGACTTTGGTGGGTCTGCGAAATGTAATCAAAAAAATGCAGTCCTTTATAAAAAAAAAAAAGATTTTAAAACGGGACTGCGTTAAATCATAGTTCGAAATGCGCGTACGTGTTTTAAAAAACAAACAAAAAAAAAAAAACAAAAAACAAAAAGAAAGACTTCTTGTTCCTTTTACTTACTTCTCTTTTCTTCTTCCCTTTATTTTCTTGTCCAATCGGTTAACCACGATAATATAACGTTGTTACGATGAAAAATACTCGTGAACAAAAAAAAAAATAAATAAATAAATTAAAATGGTAATTGCGTTATATTGTTGAAACAGGGTAACTCTTGACACGAGATACGAGTAGATTTATTAAATTATTTCAAAGTAATGTTGCGGGGACGGTGATCATTGATTGATTCATGCGAATCGATGAACGTACCGTGAAATCGATGACCTCGCATGTGTAATAAACTTTTATTTTAATAGTATCTTTATTTTTCACCTCTTCTTCGTTTTTTCTTTTTCTTTTTATCTTTCAATTATCTCATCTATCTCTCTATCTCTCTCTCTCTCTCTCTCTTTCTCTCATCGTATATGTGTCTTCCTTATATATATGTATTTTATTTTATTATATAAGAGCGTCTTTTATACTCTTTTTCTTTCCCCATTAAAAAAAAATCTTACAACGCGTTCTTGGCGTACTCGAAGAAAAAAAAAAAAAGAAATTAAAAACAATTCGAAATATAGAGCAATTAATCACGAGTAAATAATAATAATAATAATAATAATAATAATAATAATTATAATTAAATAAAATAATAAATAATGATAAAGATAATAATATTCGATTATCATCCACCGAGGTTCGAATGATGTGCGGAGATCACATTGAATGGAAATTTTTTGGTTAAAATAAAATACGAGCAAACAATGTCGAGCTTTTCTAGAGGATTGTACGCACGAGAGGGAAATGTTTTGTGTTTTTTTTTTATCTTCTAGAACCTGATAAATATAATACGCCTTTATAATAAATAAACATTTCGCTATAGAGAATTCTATATATAAATATAATTTATTTATCGTATAATTAATAATCGAATATATATTCGAACTAATGAAATACAGTAATCCCTCCATATTTTTTTCTATACGTGAATTTACGCGAATTTACTTCAACGAATTTGAGATAACAGAGCTCAAATAATACTACGATGCATTATGTAAAAAAAAACATCCAAACTCATGGATTCCTCGATGTAATTTATTTCGAAATTGTGCGTTGAACATTTGAAATCAATAATTAATAATGGCATCAAAGCAAAAGAGGGTATTATTAATAAAATGATTAAAAAAAGTTCAAGAGAACTTAGATATAAATTTCACTTTGAAATATAAAATTATGTAGCCATTAGATAGAAAAATTATTCTGACTTTTTTCTTGATTGTATTAACACGAGTAAAGGGAGGGATTACTAAACAATAAATTCCCGTATAACGTGGTTAACGTGTTACGCGTTGTGTTGATTTGTGTTATAGAAAATTAATATTTCTCTACATAATTTCCAATTGGTGTTCATGAAAGAACATTAGCATTCGATATAATTATTTCGAAAATTTGTAATATAACATAGTGATAAAAAAAATAATATGAAAAAGAAAAAGTTGATAGCGATGAAAATTACAATGTAATGTTCAATTAATGCATACAAATGTACTTTTTAAGTGCATGGAATTCTAGCATAATATTATATAACGCGTTGTAAAAGAAATCGCGTTATATGGAAACAGTAATCGCAATATCTTTGATAAGAAAATTCATATTTTAGAAACTCACGTTATACGAGAATCTATTATATACTATATAAAACATGAAGTTTATTTTAAATCAGGATGACAGTCATATGTCATGTATTTTTATTATAAGTGCGTATTTGGAATAGGTAAAGGATAAAGTATGGATGCCCAAGAACGTAAATCGAATTTGTGAATATCTTGCCAGTGAATACTATACATATATGCGAGATTTTCCATCCAGTATTCTCCGAGATTACTGACCGTCATTGCCTTGAGAAATAAATAAAAATTTCGATAAAATAAAAAATCTATTGTATCAATCATACTATCACATATTACCCGTTTATTTTGTAAGATCCATGCAGACATGCATTTGTTCTCTTGCAAACGTGACCATTTTTCTGCTTTATGCAGGTTGAATTTTCTCCTTGATTTTCTACCATGAATCGTATTCATATGGGATTTTAAAAAATAAAGAAGTGGTTTTATAAACGGTGCACGTCTCGAAACACGATCGAGTGTTTTTATGATTTTCTGCACTGCGTTAAGGATTTCTATCAGTTGACTAGCTTTCTTTAAATTTATACAACGAATTAATACTAGAAGAAAACATTCCAAGCCCTAGAATAATAATAAATAATTACAAATATTTCGAATTTATTTGTCGCGATTATTGATACTTATATTATGCGATTGAATTACTTGGCCGCAAGTAATTATTGTTGAAAATATATCGTGTTTAACTCTTTTCGTATAAATATCTACGGTTAATTCGAAACTTTCATCAATTCTGTATCCCCTAAAGAAAAATAACAAACAAAGATAACATTCGACATGTTGTTAACACACGCGTATAGGATTAAATAATTATTAACATTTGTAGGAACTTACATTCGCAATTGCCAAATCCATAAACCACTTAAAAGTCGAGTAAGACATTCTGGATCGCGAGAAACGCAGCCTTTAGTTTTGCAAGCTAGATGTTGTATGTTATTTTATTTATTATTTTAATAATCTAATGTATATTTCATTGAGATTATAAATTAAACGATTGATGTGCACTATTTAAAAGAGAATTAAAAAAAGAACGTACTGGCGAGTGTTTTGGCATGGCGAAGACAAGATTCATAAGATTCCAAAAATATTCCAGCTTGTAAGAGAAATTCTAAGCTGAGAGCATAATACCAGGTAATAGCTGAACTATCGATGTCCTCGTCTGATATATAATAGAGTTCTTTTATGAGATCAATTGCTTCGCTAATATGTTTTGTCCACATCTGTTTGCAAAAGTTTCAAATGAATAAAAGAAAAAGTTAAATAAAGAATATCAAATGAACCGTTAACAAGCCAAAACGATTAACTTTACTATTAGAATCATTGAAAATTTAATTATCAAAGTAATTTGTGTGTGTGTGTGTGTGTGTGATCAATACTTGTGTGACTTTTTATATTTAAAATAAATTTCTTTTAATTGTTCGTTACCACACATAAATACACATACAGTACATGCAGAAAAAGTACCATTGTAGATTATAGCTTTTTGCAGTTTTATCACAATAAACAAATTCACATATAACGAATCAACGAGTAGTCATGCATATGTGACGTGTGGTAGCGAAAGAATAATTAATTAGATTCAACAACATTAATCTAAAACAATTGTTATGGTCGTTCACTAATAAATAATACGACGATAACATTAATCGAAAACAATTGTTATGGTCGTTCCATTAATAAATAATACGACAATAACATTAATCCGAAAAAAATTACTATGGTCGTTCACTAATAAATAATACGACCATGTATATTATTATAATTTGATGAATTTTTTCTACTCTATGTTTAGTAAAGTTATTCGATTTGGCTTATATACGTGGATTAATTATCGATTACCATGATTTCTATAAATGACGGCAGCAAAGCAAGTTTCACGTGGGTTAGTTTCATGGTGTTTGTTATTCTAAGTATCTTTTTACCAAATTTAATAGCTTCTTGAAATTCACCTCTCAAAGCTCTATCATATATCGACAAATTATCGTATATAATAAACTCGACATTAATTTGATTTCAATGGATTAGTTTTACCTGATTTCATACATCGCCATAAATATTCTCGTCATAAGCGTTAAATCTTCGGCACGATACCAATAAATTTTTCTTTTCGTAATTTCCATCATTAGATACTCGAGACTTTTGATGAAGCTAAAGTCACCCGTATATCGTAAAACTTCTACAGCAGCAAGATAAATTTGAGCCTGTTTAGAAAAATTACCAGAATTTTCGAATCCTAATCTGAGACTTTGTAAGATGAACGATTGTGCAGATTTTTCATCTTCTTCTATCTATATTATAATATACGTGATTTCGTTTAATTAATAATTTATATACACAGCTGAGAATAATCTAATCGAAATGAATACGCGTATCACCATAAGAACTGAAGAAAGTCGTCGAAGATAAGACGCCAATTGTAAATTATCGAAAGCTGTTGGTCCGTGATAACGATTGACAAAATGATTTAAAAATCTTTCTCCTATTTTTAAACGTAATTTTTCTTTAAACGCTATATAACAAATAGCTAATTTTGATCGAGGTATAGTCATTTGCGATGATACTGCTTTGGTATATGTTATTTTTGCTTTAGAATAATTACCTAATGCCATATGAGCATCACCTATAAATTATTTTTCTTTAAATAATCATAAAATTATCAGAAAATCTTCCCTATCGAATACCTGTCAACTTCAAAATCATTCCTTTATTAATCATCGGGTATTTGTCACACGTTTCTCCTTCCTGACACTTCCTTTCAATATTCTCGTTTACTTTTTCAGCCATTTCAAGAAATTTCAAAGCAAATAATGGCTCTGCAATGTAAATTAATCCTGCACTATATCCGATCAAAAATTCTAAAATATCTTTGTCCGATCCTAAAATGTGATAGATTGATTTTAAAAAAATATAATTTAAGTGTATGTATATTCTGCTTAGATGAAATGATTTAAAAGATTACCTATTTGTTTGATATATTGACTCAATTGCCAAAATATGCAATTAACTTTGTCATAACAATGACAGTTTCTATAATCGATAGAAGTGAATTTTCTTAAAAGAATGTGTCGAGAAGGATCACTTATTTTTTCGGGTGTAACAGAAGCTCTTCTCAAAAATTTAGATCTAGATCTATCGAATAGCAATCCTATTTTACTTGAAACACTGATAACGTCTGATGAAAAATCTAAAATATTAAATATCATTTCGACGAGAAAAGTATCTATAACCAATGAATACAGTTTTTTTTCATTCAAAATTTAACCCTTTTGCGAATCATGTTATTCTACCAATTTGTTTTCAAATCAAATCTGACATTATTATATTACGATCAATTTACAGAAATGACAATTGCAACACAAGAGAATGATTAATAAAATCTATTAAATATTTATAGATAGAAAGATCACGCGAAATATTTCTTCCATATACTACCATCAAACTTTCAAACGATATACGAATTATATTAATAAAAAATCTAATAAACATGGATACAAAATTTATCATTCAATTAATCGTACAATTAAACACGGAATATTACGTTTCTTAATTATTGGTAGAATGAATATGATTTACAAAAAGGTTAATATAATCTGCACAATTGAAAATCTATCTATAAAAAATAAAATGTGACCTTCTACTTGTTCCTCTTCTTTATCATTATCAAAAAATGGCATGATAGATACTCTAGGAGGACGTAAACTATCAGTTCTACTAGATCCTTGAATATCAGTTTTAAAAGTACTTCGTTTTGGTTCTCTCATAACTAATGACGTAGTTGATGGCATCTGCAGTAATGATACGTCAAATTTAACAACAAATAGTGGAAGTTCGCTTACGATAAAAACAATCAAATGAATTTTGCAATAAATTCTTGATTATTGAAAGAAATCTCTTGGGTAATAATAAACATGGATAAAGGAGAAATAACATTAAGTATACTCTCTCTCCTTTACCTCTACCGACAAGTTTCTAGAGAATATTCTAAAAAAGGAGCCGCCACCGCATTCTGGACATTTTTGTGTTTCTCTTTCATAAATCTGACAGGCTCTCTTCCAATACTCGTCTTTTTTATCTTTCTGCAGCATATCGTATAACATTTTATGAAACGAGAGGATTTTAAATTCCAACATCTTGCAATTAGAATAAAATGGTAATGTTGGTATCGAGAAATCATCTTCAAAGATTTAAAGAGATTCAATTTTTATACTATTTACATGAAAAAATAAAAAAGAAAAAATGTTTTTTAGTATACAACACTTACGAGATAATGGGCAATCACATTGTATTAAATGATGCATATTGGAAAATGTTTGTCTTCTTATAAATAAACCATATAAATGATCATCGGTATAAAATAAACTTCTTTGTATAGAAGCACATTCTATTATTCTTATTCGGATTAATTCGGACACAGCTAAAATAAAATTCTAATATAATTCTCTTTTTTTTTTTATTATTATTATAATAAATATTAAATAATATTTCATTACTTGTTGATATATAAAATAATTCTATAAAGTATAATTGAACAATTGACTTGCTTTTTGCTGTATATGCTGCCGTTGAATTTAACATAACAGTTTGTACGATCGTTCGCACGAATAATCGACCAAGAGCTGCAGCACATTTGATAAATTCTTGCTGATAAGAATTCATCCTTTCGTAAAGTGTTCTTTTCAAACCTTAAAATGATATAATTTGATTAAAATAATATTTACGTTTAATCAATTATAGCTGCACTTATCAACGCGTTCAAATATTATAATAATTACCAATGTAATTTAAATTGGCGTCAACAAAACCGATATATAATTCATTAGTTATACAAACATGAAAAGTATTTATTTCGGAAGATGGTATCACGTCTTCCGGTAACAAATTAGATGGCACTTTTGTTATCATGGAAGATTCCGGAAAGACAAGATTATATTTTGTTAATTCAGTGGCAGTCATAGTTAAAAAATCAAGTCCGTTACTTTGCAAAGTTAAACTCAAATATAATTCACACCAGCCTATATTGTTTTGACTATGTTTTTTTAAAATCCTATTTAAAATGATATGTTTCATTAAATTCCTGTATATATGTACAAGATGATTCGCGATAAATATATTTATAATATAATATTATCTGAACATTTCAACGAAAACTTACACGTCCAAACTTTTAGGTATTGCGACGACATTGAGAAATTGGCAAGCAAATGCAGTTAAAAATTGACTATCTAATCCTTGCAAAGTCCTTTTTATTAATCTTTTATCTTCAAAAACACTGTCCTCAATATCGAATTTTCCAATTTCCAAAGGTGGAATTAATGAAGTTATTACTATTACTACGTTAACATTGTTTAATGCTAATGATATAAATTGCCATGACATCAAATCGGTATAATGAAAGTCATCCAAAAATATACACATTTTTCCGCTCTGTCGTATAAAAATTTGCAATAAAAAAATTTCTTCTTAATTACAAGCGTAAAAAAAAAAAAAAAAAAAAAAAAAGGAAAAACACACACTTGATTTAAAATAATGTTGAATATTTGCGTCATTTTGATATAACGTTGCCAACTATTAGCCGCACAATACTCATTAGAAAGTGGGAAAGAAACTTTCATTAAAGTATTCAGATAACAAAATTCTGTTGAAAATAGAAACGAACCTAATTTCTTGTTTAATACTCTTTCACGATCTTTAATGGATTTGCAATCTTCTGCTTCGAGTATCTAACATAATCGTTTAAAATCAATTTAATTTGACAATTAATATTACTCATCTCGTTAAGTAAAATAATTCGTAAAGTATTTACCAATAAAAGAATATGATAAATCACTGTGTATTCTTTTTCCGAATAAGAATAATGAAGAGGAAGTTGGATTACATTTATTTCTCTATTTTTAGCAATGGTGACATAAGCATCAAGTAGCCTTGATTTACCAGATCTTTCGTTACCCTAAATAGATAAATTCAAGTTTAGACAAAAATATCTAAGGATTCTCATTATCTTAAATTTCAAACCGTTATTAACAGTCCAGAATTATTTCTATCCATCACTCCGATATTGTCTAAAATATCATTAAAAGTTTCTAGTTCTTGAAAACGACCCAAAATAGGATAACGATAATTCACGTTCGATGTGTTAATCGGTACTGGTTGTATACTATAAAAACACGTATAATCTATAAAACAATTATTTCTAGTTATAATTATGAACTATCACTTACGAAGGTATTCCGAGAAATTCGTAAACGTGACACCTCCCGCTTCTTTTTAAATTCTGCACTCCACGTGATCTGAATGCATTTCTGCATAGACTACTGTGCATTACCGTATCGTAGTCGCAACATACCTTTATAATTAATACTATATTTCATAAGTTTATTTATCAAAAACAGATCTTGGAAACAAGTGGAATATCGAAAAAACAAAATTATTTCTTAATCAAACTATAATATGTCAAGTGTTATAATATTTTTTCAAATAATCTGTAAAGTGTTTTGTAATACGAAATGTAAAAAAAAAATATTTTTCCGCGTTTTTAATCGTTAAGAAAAAATACGAAAGAAAAATAATACTTAAGATACTATTATCTAAGCTACGAAAAATTGCGAAAAAAACTAAAATTTTTATATATGAATATAATATAACAATAACTTTATCATATGAAATTTCCATTATACTCCTAGCATTGTTAACTGGGATGCCGATGATCATGTAATCTTTTCTCGAGATATGTCCAACAACTCCACAATAAGCCATCCCTTGGTATAAACACAATGATTAAATAATAAAAAAAGAAATGAATTATACTAATCGTACCTGTAGATACCCCAATTGATACACCACGTATACTACATTTATTTTTAAGCGCTTGTAATATTTTAAACGCGCACACTATTGCATTTTTCGTCATATCTTCATTATTATCATTTACATTGTCTATCGATTCTTCTAATCCAAAAACGATCGAAAATAATATATCATTGTCATACAAATTCATTAAGTAAATACATGCCGAGTAAGGCTTGATAATACTGTCAAATTAATTTACCAATTAGATAGAAAATATATAATGAAACAATACAAAAATACCAAGTAAAGTTACCCATGTAAAAGTAAGTAATACTCGTCTACCAAATAAATAAGTTCGAAGTTTGAACAATCATGGGATATAATATCTATGCAAACCATCGTTATTCGTCTTGTTTCCATTAAATGTTCCAACGGTAAGTCATGTGTGATCTATTGCAATTAGGACAAGTAATATATAAAAATTGTTTTTAAGTTTGTTCTAAGTTATAATGTTATACTTGTTCGGCAACCGCATGTATTAGATAAATTTTTAATTGAATAGCCATATTACGTTTCATTGCTTCTACCATTAATTTTCGTGCTAAAAAGAAAATTAATCATTAAGTCAAGATTTTTAATAATTACTTTTGCTTTGTAATGAATTCGTAATAATTTCATTTTATATATAATATAACCTGAAAATATTCTATTGTCTGTACTTTCATCGGAACTACTACTTTCTTCTTCTCTCGCGACAGCAGTTTTTTTTTGCAATACCTCAGATAATCTTCGCATAATTTTACGATTCCATCGTTTGGATACGCTCGAAATTAAAGGTCTGATCGAATTAGTAGTTTTTCCTAATCTTCTGTCATCTTGTATTACTTTAATTATCTGGGACAAGTTTTCGAGATAAACGATTATATTGAATTAATAAAATATTCGTTAAAAAATCTTAGAACAAACTTTTATATTATACTCATCCTTGATCATATATTTATATTGGCTAGGTATACAATGTTCCCACGCGTTCATAGATAAAACTAAATCACCGGGTAGACAAACTTTCTTTGCTTTTCTTAAATCTAAAACTGGTTGACCAGTGATAATATAATGTCGTGATAATTCATTTCCGATGATACCAAATATCACGTTTCCAGCCGAAATCACTGCATTAACTATTTAAGAAAATGTATTAACAATTTTTGATATCTAATGAAAACAAATTAGATGTTAGTATTTACTTTTTGACATTATTTTCTCTGTTCTGTCGATGTTAGTTAACGATTTTTGTAAATGTAAAGCACAACTTATTACTTTTGGTATAACGTTTATCATTAATTCATCTCGATGAATCCTCCATAAAGATAGTATTGCATTTTCTGATTAGTTTTAAACTTTCTCTGTTATATTTTGTTGCTTATATGATAATTATTAAAATAATAATTATGATATACATACGAGAAAATTTAAGAATGTCACCACCTGTTGTATATATTTCTTCGACAATAACGTTTAAATATTTATTTAACAAAATGGTATACGCATACATACCACCGTTCTCAGCATTTCTATATTTATTATAAAGAATTGAGAAGCCTGATAGAGAATAAGACGAAATAATTATAACGATATATGAATATCAATTAATTATTATATTAATTATTCATATATGTATAATTATAAAATGTTTAAATTAACCTGAAATATCTAGAAGAAGTAAAATCGCATTAAATTTATCCGTAATTTTTTTAGTGAGATCCTTGGCTAAGATGATTTCGTTTGGTACAAAAGTTGCCATTATGCGTGTGCATTTAGTGGCTTGATGGTTACCTAAAGCCTGATATAAGTAACATTTTGAAATTATTACATTTCTTTATCTCAATATTATAAACTAACTTCTCTAAGTGAACGTCGTCTATCATGAGCTGTATCAAACACCGATTCTGAAGTCCATATAGTTGTTAAATAATTACGCGGAGATTCATATTTCTTCATTTTTATACAAAGTTTTTTATCCGTATACGAGAATACAAATAAATTAATGAATAATTAAACTTCACGTTGTTTAATAAGTCATATGTTTTTTTATACTAACCTATTTTATCAGTTTACGATAATGCAATGATCAGATTATTTTCCGTAATATCGATAAAGATGAAAGATAAAGATTGATCACAAGATAGCGATCCGTTTAGGTAAATTGAAAGTTTAGATTGTAGATTAGTATTCAACCAAACAATAAAGAAATAGATAAAAATCAACAAAACAACTTTTGACGTTACCAAAATCATCTTAGTCAGAACCGAGATCACTAGTGGACGAGAGTAGATATTTAAAGCGATGATCATATAATACTTTCAAAGAATACAAAATTCTTTGAAAGTATCTGATAGTATATGATATATCCTTTTATAATATATTCTATAATAGAAGTTTTAAAATTGTAATTATTTTTTAGTGTATAAAAATGTGTGTGCCTTCAGAAATGCATGCATAATATGTATTTTCAATAATAGCCATAGAAGGTAATGTAATAAAATTGAAGAGGAYTGAAGTTAAATCCAACGATGATCACCTGTAACAAAAAGCAAAATATATTAATCATAAAATCAAGAGATACAATAGCCTAACATATAGGTGGTCCAATTAACAGATGCACTTTTCATTTTAATTCCCTATTTATTTTTATCCAATCTCTATTTACCGTATGTAAAATAAAATTCAATTTAAACGCGTGATTTTACATTAAAAAATATAATTAATAAAGAAACAGGAAAAGTACAAATATTATAATAAGTTACTA